GATAAAAGAGTATTATCATCTAGAAGTTGAACTAGATATACCTAGGAAAATAATAGTTAATTTTAAGTTTTCTTTTTCTTTTGTTACATTATAATATCGAATAAATTTTAAAGTTTATTAATATTTCGATTTTAACTTAATTAAAATAATTTTACATTGAACTAAAGTATGTCATTGATAAATTTCTTTTATTTAATTAATTCGAATATACTTTTTTTTTTATATTAAAAACCATACTTCTAATTTTATCTTAGAAAAGGACAATTTCCTTTTGACTGATTCTATGAGTATTACTCTTAATATTCTAGTGAAACTTTTGAGTGTGTTTTATTTTATATATTCTCAATACGTAATAAATGATATTTTTGAAGAAATATTTATTCAAATGTCTATCGAATCGATTTATAATATAATTTGATGTTGTCGAATCAAAATAAAATAACCTTGATTATAAATAGAATCAAAGATAACAAAGCCTACTACTTGTTAGGCATATTTTGACATGCACAAGTATGTTATCAATAAACAATCGCTGATTGTTCTATTTTTCTTTTCGAAAAGCAATTACTTAGAAATGCAGAAATTTTTAAGGCTTCAAAAATATAGCTCAAAATACACATAATATTAGATATAATAAAGAAAATTAAATCATACATCTGATTAAATATTGAAATTAATTTGAAAGAATAAAGAATTATTGATAAAAACAAAAAATAAAAGTCAAATTAGAATTCATTATTATTATTATTTATGTTCTATTTGAGAGAAATATTATGAAAATAAAAATGAATGAAATTTTGTTAATCATCATAGAGAATAAATTACTTTATACAAAATTCAATTATATGACCGAACTAAATATATGATTGTACGATGAGAAAAATGGAAAGAAAATCAATTAGAAAAAGAAAAAACAAATAATTATCAAAAAAAGAAAAACTCGAAAAGCGCAAATAATTCTTTAATTCCAAGAGGTTTGTTGTTCAGTTGCGGATTGAAATTCTGGAAAAAAATTAAATTTATAATGTTTCAAATGCATTTCTCGTTCTTGATCAGTTCGTTGATGTTCTAATGTTGATTCATTATATTGTTCATTATTTGGTCTTACATCATCAATAACCCAATCATCATTATCATCTCCTTGACAATAAGATACAAATTCATTAAACATATCACGTAATTCATTTAAAAAACTTTTTGCCGAAAAACAATAAAGAAAAAAATTTATTGCATGTGATGTAAATTGTATTGAATTTACAGTTATTTGAATCATATGACGACGAGTACGTTCAGTTTTTAATTCAAGATTATGACGAAAAAATACGAAATAAATGCATGCTGGAAGAGTTAATATAACAAATACAAATGTAACTATAATTAATAATGCTGTTAATTGTCGATAACGTTCAATATTTTTTCGTTGAATTGTTGGTGGTGTTGCTTCAATTTGTGCACGACTTGATCGTACTGTTACAGCAATAATATATGTATTACAAATACACATAATAGCAAATGGACATAAATTATATACAATTAAATGAACACGTTCCCATTGTGGATAAATATAATTTGGATTGTCAAGTGTTGAATAACAATTTATAGTACCAGATGTTGTACGATATCCATTTAAAAATAATATATGACTATTTAATCCAATACATAAAAATGTTAAAATACATATATAATATTTTGTATATTTTAATTTTCCAAATGATTGTTTCCAATGTAACCAATAGAGATTCAACGCACGATCTTGAAAAAAGAAAATAGAATATTATTTGCTTAATAGGATACCTACGTGATGTAACTAATGTAATTCATAGTAGAAATCGGAAATTTACATTTGTTATTTATCCTAATTTCATGTCTGTTATTATCCCTTTATTTCTTTTACAGATATAAACAAAGAAAAAACTCATTATATAGGATTGATTATTATAATACTGCTTTAACTAATTAACTATAATCTTAAATTGATATATAATTTTAGAAAAAAGAAATGTATGTTAAGTAGATTTTTATTTTCAGAAAATTTATTCTTACCAAAACTAACAGCAGTTAAACACCAACTTGATAATTGTAAACTAACAAATGTCATAAATGATATAACACGACAATGTATAAGAGATACATCTTCTAAATTTTGATTTGTTGAACTAATATTAAATTTATAAAAACTATTTAAATTCCAACCATACAATGATATTGTATCACATATACTAACTACAATTAGATAACGTATAGTTACTAAACGACGAAGATTTCGTCTTAATAATACAATTATTGTTAATAAATTTCCTACGGTTCCAACAATAATAAGTATAAGAGCATAGATACTTAATGATTGAATAATAAATGAATCACGAGAATTTGCTGATGAAGATGTTGATTCATTTAAAATAGATTCTTCAATTTTTTTCGTATATTCTACAAAAACCTAAAATATATGATCAAAAATCGATCAGATAGATTGAAAAAGAAAAGTAATTATTTCTATTCGAACTTACAATAGGTGTACGTGGAGTATTCATCATAATTGATAATAAATAAGAAGTAGTATTAATAAAAAAAAAGATTGGTTAAATGACAGCTATACCATGTTTCTTGCCAATTTGAGTAGACAGAAATAATCAAGACGGAAGGATATCAAATGGAATATCGTATGTCGTATTTCTATATTTTTTCTTCTTTCTCTCTTGTTATTGTAAGATGATGATGTTAATAATCGATGAAAAAATCTTTGTACATATTTTGATCTAATTGTAGAAGATAATAGATAAGTTTTTTTTTTAATAAAATTAATTTATAGATCAATTGATTTATATTTCATAATTAAATGATGAAATGATCTGTAAAGACGAAGAAAAAAAAAAAGATATTACAGTAACATATGGAATTGAAAATAATAGACATGTCGTTCTTTTTTTTTTATTATGTAGTACGATGTTTGTCTTCGGTTCCGAAGTGTTTCTTTTCTTCTCTTCAAATGTCCTTCAGGCAAACCAAGCAAGTGTCAAGAAAAAAAACGAGAAAAAAAAAAGAAAACTTATGCATTTTTCAATGTTTTTTTATACGGACAATCTATCATCAACATGTCAATGTTGTCATCATCAAGTCTATTAAAATTTTCAACGGTTGACATCTCTTCTGTCATTATTATAGTAATATAGAGATGGAGGGAGAAAAAAACTATATTTAAAAAAAAATATTACATAGCCTGTGTCTCTCTCTCTCTCTTCTTTTTTTTTTTTATTCAATAATATTAATTAAGTAACAAAAAAACAACTTTTATCATTAAAAATTCCATCGGCTTTTTTTCTTTTAAGAATATTTACCTAAACTTATCTGAGTGGCTTAGTTTATAAGGATCTATGAAGATCAATTGAAATAAGAAATCTATTATAGTAAGAAAAGAGAAGAAAAAAAAAACTTGATAGAATGATGGAGAAAGAGAAAAATAATGTCAAGAATAAAAAAATCTCTTGGTGGAAAAAAAAGAATGAATGAATGAATGAATGGATAGATTGCATTTGTCATCTTTTTTCTAAATTACACATTTAACACAACGTAATAAGAGACCAAATAATACATAAAAAAAAGAATTTTGCTTTTATTTTACAATATATTAATATTGAATTATAGATTACATCGATTGATTATAATTAAGAAGGAAAAAGAAAAGAGAACAATGTTATGTCATATGGAATTTTATTTTATATAAATCGATCTATTAAAAATAAATGTCTTTTAACTTAAGTTACAAAACATCAATCTCATAAAAACCATGTTAACATAATTCATCAAACAAAACGTCTGACATTACCTTGAGTATTCAACCAGTAAATCATAGGAAATGACAATATTGTATTGATGAGAAATTATTTACACGACGTGAGCAATATAATATACGAATAAACGATAAATCAATATGACTGTATATGCATATGAGAACTTTCTTATTAACTTAGTTAACCGTGTAAATGATGAGTCAATCTATGGAAATAAATATTTTAGATCTCGTGAGTGAATATAAATGTACGAGAACAAAAAGACAAGATAGTAAACAATAGTAGAAGATAAATTATTCGTTGATTAAAATTCTAGTGAACATCAATCTCATTAGCATATGAAGCATTGTTAATATTAATGATGTATTGACAACTAAGATTTTTCTTTTGTTTAATATCAATAGAATATGTTTTACAATTAAAAATATTTATACTAAAATATGATTTATTTTTTCAATAGAAATAAATTAGTCAATAGATTTTATCGTCTATATGAAAAATAAAAACAACAACAACATTACATATCAAATATTAGTTTTTCTTTCATGAAAACTTTTACAAGAAGAGAAGAAAAAATATAATCAAAGTAAATATTATAAAATGAATTTTATTAGATGGAGAATATAAATAATATATTAAGAACAGTCTATAACATTTAAAAATGAAGATATTATTTATTCACATGTATTTTTAATTTCATTTAAATAAAAGCATTTTCATAGATATTCAAATATGTATCTCGTGAGACAATGAATTACGAAGATATTATCATATAGATTATTTCCAATATTATCATACATATTTTATTGAGCAATAAATACTGTAGAAGATTTGCATGAATATTGTTAGTTAACGATGGAAGCATATTTAATTTATTTTGTTTCCTGCAAGTCTTTAAAATTGAAGAAATAAAAGGAAATTTGTTCGAGTTTTTTCTTTCTTTTCATTTTGACAATATTAAACAACAGAAGAAAAAAAAAATCTGTCCAAAAAAATGCTGTTAACAAGCCTCTTATAATTTTGTGTTTTGTTATTATCCTAATTGAATGTACACTGAGAAGACAAAAAGAAAAGACATTGCACATTAAAAAGGACGATATACAAATGAAAGAAAGAAAAATTGAACAATATATAATTAAATAAAAGACAAAGCCGAAAGAAGAAAAAAAAGAAATGAGATAAATTCATAGAAATCTATACATAATTAAAATTCTATGATGCTGTTGTTGTTGGTGATGCTGTTATCGTTGTTGTATTATCTGTTATGGGTGAATCATTAAGAAAATTAAAACAAAGTATAGTATCATCATGTGAACTTGAGACGATTTGAAATTCATCGAATTGTAAACGAAATACTCGTCCTGTATGTTCAGTTAATGTACGAATACATAATGATGATTGTGAACGTGGATCAAGAGCTGCTACTAAATCCCAAACTTTGATTTTACCTATAAGAAAAAATATAGATAGATAAAAGACAAAAAATGAAATTTCAAATTTTCGTTTACCATCATAAGCACCCGAAACAATTCGTTTTGAATCAAAACGAATACAACGTACAAGTTCATCATGTCCTTCAAGTATACGTAAACAGGCACCACATTCAATATCCCATATACGAATTGTATTATCTGATGATCCACTAACAACAATTTTATCACGATACTGTAAACAAGCAATACCACGTTTATGTCCAAGTAATGTTCGTACAAATTCACATGTTGTTGTATCCTATAAAATAAAAGAAACTTTATTTCTCTCTCTTTAAATATGATTAACATACCCAAACTTTAATTGTTCTATCACCACTAGCACTAACAATATATTTTTCATCAAAATCAACAACATTAACTGCTGCTCGATGACCAACAAGTACACGTCGAATAGTTATATCTGTTGGTGAATTCATTTGCCATACAGCTATTGAACGATCTTTTGAACATGTTACCATCGTACCATCAGAAAATCGAAGATGTAAAACAGCTTCACAATGATGTAAAAGTGTATTAATTAATTCTCCTGTTTTAACATTCCATACACGTATAGTTGAATCTGATGAACCAGTCACAATAACTTTTTCATCATATTGTAAACATAAAACACTTCCATTATGACCAGTTAAAACTTTCGTACATTCAAGAGTTTTTCTATCCCATATTTTAATTGTATTATCACGAAGACCACTAACTATTTTATCTTTATCATATTGTAAACAATAAACACCTTTGCTATTTTGTGAACGACATTGAATTTTTTCTAATTGAAAATTTCCTGTACGCCAATTAATTTCAATTTGTTTAATATCTTGTAAAATTTTTGGATATAAATTACGATAAAATTCATGTGTTTTACCAATTTCATTTGATGTTAATACTTGACGAAATAAATATTTTGTCCAATCACGACGTTTAGCAAGACCATCCCATAGTGTATCTGATAGAACTTTACGTTCAATTAATTTTTTCCATAACATACCTGTTGATATAACATGATACCAATCATGACAAACATATTCACTTGCTATTAATGTTTTATGATCTAAATATCCAAGAATTTTTTCGGCAATATGTTCAAGTCCACGTGATGCTAATTGTCCAATAAAATCTCTTTGTAACATAGGTAATAAAACTGTATTTATTTGTCCATGTTGATGACTATGCATACGTTTGAGAAGATTTTCAACAAATATTAATTGTTCACGTTCATCCCATGTTAAAAATATGGTTAAAAATTGTTCACTCATTTTTTCATAATCAGATGTGGAAATTTTATTTATCGATGTTGTTAAACAATTTGACGATGAAGATGTGAGCATTGGTGAATGTTCTTCGTTGTTAATATCATTACCTGAGTTTGTTGTCATAGTTTCCATTATTTCGGACGTTTTTTTTTTCTTCTTTTCGTGTATTATAAAAATGGAATTGAATAGAGAGGAAAAAAATCAAATATGTATTTTTTTTTCTTTCTTTTTTTTTAAGTGACTATTGTTAAGAAAATAACAACGGTAAAAGACATCTAAAATAATAGACATGTATTAATAATAAAATAGTACATTTAAAAATGCGGCTTTTTTTCTAACAGTTAGTAACCTACATCGAAAAAATCAGATTTTATCTACTGAATTCTTAATTGTGCTCCAGATTTGGAGCGATTGCTCTAATAGATACTCTGGACTGTGCTGAGTCGACTGATGATGCTCAAGAAAAATAGTTTTGAGAATAATATTTTTTTGAAAAAAAATCCCTGTACTCCCCCTCAGAGATGATCTGATCAATAATGAAAATTTCTTTTATAACTCAGCTAAGGTAGAACCGGTTGGGCTCATCTTCGAATTCGACCGAGATATCAATGAAACTAAACTCTGTAGAAAATTTCAGCTCAGTCCGATTCTCCTTTCGAAAGTTATCGTGTAAACGGTCGGACGGACACACTGATCGATTTTAGTAGTGTACTCACTTTTTGAGTACACAAAAAGGACACAGTTACAAGCTACAACTTGAAACTCGTAAACTTCGATTTTGGAGCTCACTTAACTTGACCATTTTACAACAACAAAGATTATGTTGTCGACATCGACATATTTATTATTAACAAAATTCAATATAATTATAAATCTCCTGTAAAGAAAAAGCTAGTCATTATTTTAAGTTAAAATAAGACATGTCATAACCTTGATATATGTCGTTAATAGTATTCCAGGCATATGTAAAACTATAATTGTACGGCTTCTTTCTCTACGGTTAGAATGACATAGACCAAAAAGATTATCTAATTGATATTTTGATTCTTTCCTTTCACTACTCTTATTTCGAAGTGTGATTAATGCTTATCTTGTTTTCTTTCTAAATAACTTCTCAATTGAGATCAAATCAAATATAGACAACTTGATCATAAGTGCTTTTCATCGTGTTGCAAAGAAAAAATGTCCTTATAGTATACAAGTTTTAATTAACTATAAACAAATTTATTAACAATAAAATAGCCTTCAGAATATCTTATTGTTCATACTTAACGATAATAAATGATTATGTTTATAAAATATACTACCATCGAAGAAGAAATAATATAATTAATCTAGAGCAAAACAAAAACAAAAATTTTTATATATCATATTAAAAAACGAAAAATGTTTTTTTTCTTATTTTTTTGTGTTTTATTAATTTTCATCTTTTATTTTGCAAGTAGATATATCATGACAAAAAGAAGAAAGAAAGAAGAAAAAGAAAAGCAAACATACGAACAGGACAACAAACTTTTGTTATGCATCCGATATGACTGTACATATATGAGAGAGAAAAAAGACAAAGAAAAAAAAAATTTTTTTCGTTATATTTGCAGAAAAATTATTAATCATATTTTGAATATTGTTTACTTGTTGTAGTTAATGATGTTGAATGAAAATTATTATTATTAGTATTATTATTAGTAGTATTATTATTATTATGTTGTTTTGTATTTGTTGTTGATGGTGGTGTAACAAGTGAACGAAATGCATCAATAATTAAACTTGGATGACGTTTAGAAAATTGTATCCAATTATTTGTTTTTGATACAGCTGATGCATTTGAACGTATAAAAGCTAAAACTTGTTGTTTAAGTGATGTATCATTTGCATGATCACTAACTTCAAGCATTTCAATAGCATTATCAACTTTTAAGACATCTAACATAGTTGATTTTGCTAATTGACGTAATTCATTTAAATCATATTTAACAGCAGCACGAAATAAATCAATAGCATTTAAATTGGCTTTAATTTCGTCAGTTGATGTTATTAAACGACCTGTATAAATATAGACAAGCATTATACGAACAGTTGAAGGATCAAGATCATCGATATATAAATCAATTGATGGTAATTTAGAATTTGTTGTATTGTAAGTTGTATTATTACGTATTTGACTTGCAAATGATGATGAACGAGACATTAGAATAGCTTTATGCGCATGAAATGTCGCTAATGGTGTTATATTTGAATATTTAATATGAGCTGATTGAATATCTATATGGAGATCTTGTTCACTATTATCTTGATGATGACAAATACATGAACAACGTTTTATACTGGATGATAAAGATAATATGGAAGACGATGAACATAATTCTGATGAGGAAAATTCAGCAGATGATGAAGAACAATTTGATGATGAGAGATTAATGTCAGATGATGATGGTGTTAATGACGATGAACTTTGAGCAATACGTGAAAGTAAAGACGTTGTTGAACGAGTTGTTCGACGTGTTGTTGTTGGAGTTGTCGATGAGGATATAGGAGATGCATGACTTTGTGTTAGGAGATTTGTTAAATGACGAGAATCGAGATTATCCGATTCAGAATCTTTACAAATCACTATAAATAAAACGAATTAATATTATTAGAGAATTATTTATTTTTACCTGATGATGACTGTTCATGATGATCGGATATTGGTTCATTAGTTGTACTATGAGACTTATTTTTTTCTGATGTACAATGACAAGATGAACATGATGGATGTTGTTGTTTCAAAGATGTTCTTTGATGTTTTATACGATTTGATTTCCTATGATCATCAACAATAATTGGTTGTTGTTGTTGCTGTGAATGATTTGTATGTTGTTTAGGTATAACATGTATATGTACATCAGCAAAACGTTCATCATCTAAAAGTGTTTTGATTTGATTTGATAGAAGTTCTAATGATTTAAAACGTTCTTTATCATCTGTAAATAAACCAGATATAATTGTTGATGATGTTGTTGATGTACTTGATGGATTTATATTATTCATTGATGTTGCTGATGATGATGATGCCGATGATGATGATGTTGATGCTTGAGTTTTTGGTGTCGTACTTGTTTGTTGTTGTTGAGCAGAATGTTGAGATGATGGTGGAGGTGGAGGTGGTGGTGGTAAAATTGATGATGCATGATGATGGTGATGATGATGATGTGCAGGATGTGGATGACGAAGTAAATCACCTGTTGCAGTTTCTTTTTCATCAACTAATACAACACGAACATAGACTCGAAGACGATCATCTGTTATAAGATCATTACGACGAGAATTTAAATAATTTCCATCAAGAAATTCTTAAGAAGAAAACAAAATTTCATTTTTAATTACTCTAACAAAAAAAAACGTTTCAATCTTACCTGAATAACCCCAATCATTTCCTGATGAGAATGTATGAAAATTTGTTGAACGTAACATAACAAGTTCATTATTTCGACTAACAACACTAAATTCTGCTTTAGCTTTTATTGTTGGCATTGTTCCACTAATATATTTAAGAAATATAGCTATATTATTATTTGTATGTTGTTTTTCATTTAAACCACGTGGATATAATTTTAAACTCCAACGTGTATTGGAATAAGGTGTATTAACAGGTGAAAATGATTCCGATTGAAGACATGTAGAATTTGAATCATCAATATACGATGAAAGATAACTAAATAGCATTTTAAATTAGTTTTTTTTATGTAAATAATAATCTTACTTTATAATCCATAAATGTGAAAATGAACATAAATGTCGTTCTGTTCGTGATGATGAATCAGATTCTGAAAATGTTCGTTTATGACTTTGTCGAATTGATGATGATGTACCAGATGATGATGTTGGTGTCGATGAATTTGTTGTTGTTGTTGATGTTGTTGTACTTGCATTTGTATTGGAAGACGTATTTGCAGTAACTGATGTTCGGTTATTGTTACTGTTATTGTCCATTTTATTAGAAATAACAACTAAATTTAAAAGAAAAAAAATTATTTTTAAATTCAAAAACAAAACATTTCTATTTTACTTTATTAAATAATAAAAATCAATGATTATTTCTTTTTTTTTTGGGTATTTCAATTTTTAATATTACATGCTGAAATATTTATTAAAAATAATAATTATCTAAAATAGATTTTAAAAATTGTTATGGAATCACTAAAACAATTATTATTATTCTTTTAACAATCAAAATGGTAAAATAAAATATCTTCTTATTGCAAATTGATTGACTAATGTCATGGAATATTGATTACTTAAGCCAAAAATGTTTTTGGATCAAAATTTGGTTTTTCTGGATAAGTACAACTTGATTGTTGAATACATTCATATGCACAATAAGCACCAGCTTGAATAGCTTCAGCATAAGTTTTACCCAGAGCCAAATATGCAAGAAAACCTAAAAAATAGAACTCTTTCAATTTTATTCATTCAATCAACAAACATTCTAATCTCAAGGATGTGATTGTATGCACATGTGAGTGTATATCACATATTGAAAATTATCAATATCAAGGATGAGAGAAAGAAAGTTAGACTATATGTGTAAAACATACCGCCAACAAACGAATCTCCAGCACCATTTGTATCAACAATACTTGATGGTTTTTTAACTTGAAATTCTTCAATATCTTTTCCAGCTATAGCAAGTACAGTTGGATCAGCACCTTGAGTTATCACAACAACACGTGGACGTTGAGCATTTTTTTTTGGAAGATCACTTAATGCTTTTGCTATTTCTTTAACATCTTCAGTCTTAAAAAAAATCAATTATTTATCAATAATTCAAAACGAATAATCATAACTTACATCAATTTTTAATTGGTGTTTAGCAAAACATCTTGCTTCCTACAAAGAAAAAGCTATTTTCTCTTGATTAAATATTATTTCTTATCTTACAGTTTCGTTACCAAATAAAAAATCAACATAAGACATCGTTTTCATTAATCTATCACCAAAAAATTCACAAATAAAAGGTGCGGATAAATTAGTACAAAATAATTGTTGATTTTTATCAGCTTGTTCACATAAACGCATTGCAGCATCAGGACATACTGTATAAAAAAATCCCTTGAAAAAGAAATCAAATTTAATTTGCCTTTCATATTATATTACATACAGCTGTATAAATTATTTTTGATTTTTCAATATATTCTTTATTTTTTGGTTCATCTAAATGATCAATTGTAAAACAATTTGCAGCACCTAAATTTGCTACTAATGATCTATGAATAACAAGAAAAAAAATCTTATTTTTATATTCTTTTTTATTTTAACGATCTTACCGATCATTTCCAGTAATCAAAACAGCACATGTACCAGTTTCTGTTTTAGAATCAACTTGATAAGATAATGTTAGACCTGCTTTTGTAGCTGCATCGTGTAATATTTGTTGATATTTATCTTGACCTACACAACCCATGTAAACACAAGATTTGGGTTGTTGAAGCATCCACTTAAAATTAAATAAAAAAAAATTTCGTAATTAAAATATCGAAAAACGTTTTTTTTACAGTTGCAGCTCGCATAGTATTTTGTGTTGAACCACCAGCAACAAAATGATGATTTGGATAATCATGAAGTAATTTTTCGTACCTAATGAATACATATTTAGTTTTATAAATTCAAAATTCGAAAAGAAGTAAACTTACATATCTTTATGTTGTTCACCAGCTAAAATAGCATCATTAGCTTTTAAATTGTATCTAAATAGAAACAAAAGAGATTAATTTGAAGGTTAACATCGGTATTCAGTCAAGGTTTATATGACAATACAAGGTGTTATAAAGTGAATCATACATCGTTAAGGTTAACCTTTGACCTCATTCATTCCGAACTTCAAAGATACAATCAATTGATATATATATATATAACATACCCTTCAAGAAATGATGTTGGTACTTCAGCAATAATATCAAGTAATGGATTTCCAATACCGAATATTGTTCCATCACTAAAGTATAATTTTATTTTCAATTGTTTTCTTTTGAAAAATAATTGTTAACAAACTCTAATTTTTGTTTGTCTGATGATTCAGATGACATTATCTAGAAAAAAAAATAGAATTTCATTTATTGAATATATTCTACATTTATCTAATTTCTTTAATAAATTAATATCTTAGAATTTGTGTTGTAAATTTTCTTAATTATATTTAAATGTCAATTATGTTCATTTGTAATTGACCTAACATCTAATAAAAAGAGGTCACTATATGTCTTTTTTGACCTTCGTATTTTATCAATCTTTCATATAATATACTAGTTTACAAGATTTTTCTTGTCTACATTCAATAGGAAAGCTATTCTTTGTGTTTCTACTTTATGGGAATTTGAGCATATTGAAAGAGTAATGTTGATCTTTTTTAATGATCGAAAGTAATGATAACAATGACATTGGAAATTTGCATAAACTAATAAAACATAGATTTTATAAGAAAGAGAAATTTATCGTAAGATAAAAGTAAAAATAAATTAATAAGAATAAGTTTCAAAAAAGATTTCATAAATAATCACATATACATGCACATTATAGATAGTTAGTTTATTGTGTTGTTCTGTTGTGATGATAGACGTTAAATATGAGATTTTATTGGTTAGAAACTTTCATTGAAAAATTTGTTTGTCCTTTATTCATGATATGATTAATAAATAAGCAATAATTTTCAATGAAAATCAATTATTCAAAAATATCATTCAAAGGAATTTCTATTAAGTTTGTAGAAATAAAAATGATATAAATAATTATAAAACAAAAACTCTGATAAGAAGTGACATCTGTTGAGTTTCCATAATATAAGAGACAACGCTTAGATTCGTAGATGGCAAAGTCAAGACTGATATTTGCAACGGGCGGGAGCAGGATGTATCATAAGTCACGTCACTTGAGAAATTTTGATAGATTTAGCTATTTTATTCGATGAATTTAATTTTTCTGTCGAATCGGGTAAATTTGGATAAATTTACTGCTATTTAATGAATCTGTTTCAGGATCTAGGTTTTCCCCATGGAGAAAGGTCGATGGCTACAACCTGTTTTTAAGAAGACTGGCCGATGGAAACTCAGTGTCCTGTTTAAATATTTTCTTTAAACATTTTTTAGAGAGAGCATACATAAAAATATAGAAAAATTTGAGGGTGTAAGTGTGGGTGGGTGTAAATATGGTTGAGGTTGAGAAAAGAGATACTCACACCCACACCAGATTTCAATGAATACACAAATGTGATTAACAGGCGAATTCGAGTGGTTTTACTTTTACTTTGTTGGTGACGCTATTTCAAATTCAAATTGATGATTGGAAGGGGTGGGTGTGGGTGTGATTACACTTTCTTTCAACATCTAAACCCATACTCACACTTTGAAGATGCGCCGGTGACTGACAGTGACAACATTAGAATATAGAATTTGAATATGTATTAATCACTACTGTTCGAATAAATCCAATAGAAAAGAATCAATCCACTGGAGAATTAATTAATAATGAAGACTCGAATACAAGTGAATGCTGCAGGATCGAAATGCATGTCAAACAGACCCGCTAAGAAAGAATGAATACTTTGAGATATTATTTCAGCATGCAGTGATTAAAAAAGGTTTTTTGATAAAAATATGTTAATCAAATAGATTTGATAAGAGAAAATTGGTTTGTAGACAAATTATCCTAAGACGAAATAATATCGCATAGAAATTACAAAGCTTTAGCAAAATATGATATAGAAAAAGTATCTAGGATGTTGAAATAAATCCAAAAAATAAATCCCTGTATCCCTTCCTCCGACATCTAGCGAAAGAAAGGTATCAGTTACATTAAAGCATAGAGGATTATCTCAGGAATATTTATTTTGGTACTGATTATACTTAGAACAGTTTACGTTTCTAGTGCATAAGAGCAGCAGTCAATATTTTAGGGAAATTTCCCAGAAATTATCCTAGATTTGGTGAATTTTCCATAAAAGTCTGTCGTTCTTACTGACAGCTGCTAATTGTATTTGTTTTTGTGCTTGTCAAGAAAGAAGAACTTATTACTGCGTTTTCTAATGACTTCCGTAAGTTAGGTATAGAATAAGACGTGTTAGTTAGTCATATGAATAATCCTCTGGACTAAAACATTTGTAATTGATTGTTACTTGACAGACTGGAATACACGCGGGAAATTTCCAAGCGGAAGTACTTACGCAAAACGCCTCTCTAAAGGAAACGGAAGTTTTTTTCTCCAAATAGCGCCCAATATATATATATATGGGTCTAACTTTCACTACAACATAATTCGCATTTTCTCAAAAACAACAAAGAAAACAAACATAATAATTGTTATGCAACAATCTTTGGCATACCTCTCTTTAGGTTTGGTCGTATTATGTGTTTTTACACAGGTAAGATGTTCGAGCTTTATTCTGACTAATGTCTTTTGCATCTTTGATTTTCAAAAAAAATAGGCTTTATCACTTCGTCAACCAGAAATTGATCGTCAAAGACGAGCCGTCACTGAAGAGAATCAAGAACAGCTAAGTAAGTGAAATCGACTACGATTGCTATCTTTTTTCATATATGTCACGCACCTAACTCTATTATTTGTTTCATCTAGATGCTGAACAAGACCAAGCTCAAGGTAACAAAGAAGTTACACAGATGACTCCTTCTATTAGCACCACGGCTTCCAGTGATGTCAAATCAGAAGAAGACGGAAAGAAAAATTCATTTGAAGATGCACCTTGGTATCAGCAGTGCAAAGCAAATATGGAATTCTATTCTAATCAACGAAAACCAGAGGGTATGTTTGTTGTTTTAGTTTTATGCTTATATCTCTAACTGAAATACTTTTCTTTGTTTTTTTTTAAAGATAAATCGGAAAATATGCCGATTTTAAGTTCTGGTAAGATTCATTTTCCTTTCAACAATGAGTCTGTTCTGACTCTACTATTAATTTAAGTAAGCATACAACTTTGATTTGCTTATAGGAATGGCTTTAACGCATTTGGTTTTCAAAAATCATCGTGGTACAAACGTCGAATTGTTTAAAACTCAAAATGGTATGGGTCAGGAGCCACAACTTGTTGCAACCTTAGCACCTGGGTAAGTGCAAGTAGCAAAAAACATACGAAAAGTCGTTCGTGATGTTTTATCGATCAAATCATCTAAATTTTCCTTTTTTTACATTAGACAAACACACGATGAATATTTACTGGATGGCTGGGCGGGTAACTTCTCAAATGGTGCGCCCGGAAAAAATACCTTGTTTGAAATAAGTATACGAACGGATGATAAAAATCAAATTTACTATGATTTGAGCAATGTTGATGGAAGTGATGGAGTAATGAGTGTTCAAGCTCCGGATGGGTAAGTGATTTTGACATTAAAAAAATAATTAAAACTATGAATACTTTCTTTTCATTTCGATGTTAGGTCATCTCTTCAATCTCCGAAAGATGCTTATCAATACTCGACAGATGATACAAAAACTCATGGCGATGGAGGCCAAACTGGAGCATACGTCATCGGATTTCATTGAATAAAAGAAGAAAGAAAATGACATTATTTTAAAAATTTTAAGAAACCCCGTTTTTCCCCAATTGTGTGAATGTAGTGAGGTTTGAAGTTTATTTTAATCAAGTTTTAATACAAGTTCATAATCTAGAAAAAAGAGATTGCACATCTACCAATCTCTGACTTTCTAATACTTCTTAGACACAGATTCTTGATTGTGTTAGTTCGAATAACTGAAGAAGAATAACAGAATGGCAAAACAATCAGTATATTCTTTCAAAAAAACTTGAAAATGTTAACAATGAATCAAATTTGATTAGATAATTGAATGATTTTGTGTCGATGCCGTAATATATCAGAAGCGTTCTTTCTCTAAAGCACAGTGGTAAAGTTAGACGGATGTGATTAGATTATTCGTTATTTACCTCTATTTACAGCCACACATCTATATCCACGTCATCCACAATCTCAAGATACGAAAGCTGAAAACTCTATATATCGACGAACGAGCTAGAACAAAAAAGGAACGCACTAAAAAGAAAATATATATGAATGGACTAGGAAAAATCCAAAGACCCTACGACAAAAAAAACATGACACATGAGGAAGAGCACTAGAATAATATGTGTAGGAATTATCCAAATAAAAGAAAGGAAAGGAAAGAAGATATATGTATATATGTCTTGCATATGATCTGTACGAGAATTAGAGAAAGAAAGGAAAGAAAGAAATATCCAACATCGGTGAATATGCATTATAACAATTATTGTTTTCTAATTTCCTTTCGTCATCGTATTAGATGGATCCAGCTTATATTTCTAGTAAGTGTGATTTTTTTTTACACTTGAGAATTCTCACAAGCATTTGTTTAACGAATTTATTCTATCTTCTTTTTCTTTTTATGTCAAATATTTCAACTTGGCTTTTGTCGACATATTCACTTCTTCACCTGAAAACAAATTTGTGGATGTGACTCTCTTCTTCACCTATCCTCAACTTCGAAATTTCTTATTCATTCAGATGATTATCCGCAAATCTATTTTATTTCATTTTCGAACATCTTTAACATTGAATAAAATAAGATTAAGATACATTGAAGAATATATCATTCCGCGTTAAATCAACACACAGATCAACGAAAAATTATCTTTTATTCTAATTTGTTTTCAATTCAGATAGAAAACATTTCTTTTCAAAACAAATTATTAAATCGTATTTGTTAATATCGAAAGAAATCGATGTCATCGTATCCGTTCCTTTTTTGGAATAACAATTTCATTAATTCGTATTGACGAGTATATCCTTTAAGAAGTTTTCTTTTTTGTTTGAGGGTGAGGATGTGGGTATGAGCGTGGGTGAAAGAGACGATAGAAACACACAAACCCACACCCACATCCTCAAGTCAACAAAAATAAATGAAATGAAAAGATTGTCTCTTTATTTAATCATTTGTCAAACACAGATAAAAACATTGTCCTTTCAATTTTTCGAATCTCAATGATCTTCAAATAAACGATAAAGTAAAAGTGAATAAAGAATTAATTGTTAAATATTCTCGTATCACTCGACTAATAATTAACAGAACAGTGATGAAATACATTTTCAAAATGTTATCAGATAATTAAATATTTTTCTCACATCTGTTCACGTTTCATCACTGAGATGAAATATAAATGAATAAAACAGCAAATCAGTTTTTATTAAAATAATCAACGACAAAGAAACACTTCATTCTTCATTCTTTTGTCTATTGGATAAAATAAATAATCGGAATCAACATTTTCAATGTTCAAATTCTTTTCTTTTCTTTTTCATTGTGAAAAAAGAAAAAAATGAAATTTCTATTCAATTATTTGTTTTCTAATATTGAATAAAATATTTGATCTTTTCACATTTCACAAGAAAAATGTAATGGAAGATCATTTTCATTGTGAACAAATGTTTTGAGAATAAAGGAGATTTTCTCTTTAGACGTTTAGACTCAAGCAGAAGAGATTTATTTTATCAAATTGATCAATTCTCTAAGAATAGATATACTCGAATTATTTCTTTTTCTTTTTCAAATTTTCAGATGAACTTGTGTTTGAAAAATTGTCTTGACATCTTTTAGTTTTCTTATAGAAATCTGAAATGAAAATGATAGAAATGAATCGAATCAAAGAAAAAAGAAAAAAACATGAATCGATGATGATGTGAAGATAAAAATGAGAATCGAGAAAATGTCAAACTGATTTTGAATGAAAAATATTTTGGTGAACGAATTTATTTAATTCACAAAAACAAAACAAGAAATTAAAAATTTCACAAACAAAATCTTTAACATTTTGTTTTTTTTTTATTTCTTTTCAAAAATCAATTTAATGAAGAAAACTTCGTTTAGGATGAATTTCATTTAACAAAATTCACAATTTTTCATTGAACTTCAATTTCAAAAGATGAAAATTTCAAAAGCTTTTATTGAAATTTAAACAAAAACATTCAAAAATTGATTTTTTCTCTGAAATTATTCGAATAATTTTTACAAAAGATTTTCACAAATTTAAATTATTTTTGTTTTTCATCTGTACTAATTTTTTTCATAAAAAACAAAAACATCGGTTAATCAAAAATTCTTCTTTATTTTTATTTCAAAATTCGATTTTTTTCTTTTTATTCTCACAAAATTCATTTGATCAAAAAGAAAATATTTTAATCAGGACATTTTTCATATTTTAATATTCGATGATTCACCTGATCTGCAACATAAAGATTCTCTTCGTCATCAAATGATAAATCTCTGGGAGCAGCCAACTGATTTAAATTTTCTCCTTCTCCATTTCCCCCAACAACAATTTCACCTTCTGCATTTCCTTCACACCAACGCACCACTCGATGATTGTAAAGATCTGCTACATAGATTCGACCCAAATGATCAACAATCACCCCTTGTGGAAGAGACAATTGTTTGAGACTATTTCCTTGACCATTTCCGCCAGCAACAACAATTCCTTCCTTTGCATTTTTTTTCCATTTCATCACACGATGATTATGTTTATCTGATACATAAAGAGAATCATCTTCATCAACAAAGTTAAAAGAAGGAGTATTAAGTTGATTGAGTTGATCTCCTATTCCATTTCCACCTGCGACAATTGTTCCTCTTTCATCTCCTTCTTTCCATCGTCTCACTTCACCTCTCTCCATATCAGAAACATACATAAATCCATTTTTGTCCATTGACAGACCAAAACACAAAATATCAGAAATGAGAATTTGTTCTTCTCTTTCATTTTCACGAAAACATCGGATTACTCGTCTGTTCATGAAATCAGAAATGATGAAAGAATTATTTTGTTTATCAAAAAGAGCATCTCTTGGACGATTCAATTGATCATTTCTGTCTCCTTGACCATTTCCACCAGCAACGATTTGTCCTTTGTTCGAATGATATTTCCATTCAACAATACGATCGTTCCAACAATCAGTAATGAAAATATTGTTGTCATGATCAATAAAAATCCCCATAGGATGATAGAGTTGATTTAATTGATTTCCAAGTCCATTTCCCCCCGCACAAATAATTCCATTTTGTTTGAATTTGTTAAATTTTGTTTTGTTTTTTTCTAAAAATGTAAAAAAAGTTGAATTTTACTGAAATAAAGTTGTGAAAATGTTCATTTTTGATGAAAATGAAAAAGAAAAGAAAAGAAAAAATTGAATCTAAAAAATTAAAATTAAAAAAAATAAAATTTTGTTTTTTTGAATTCAAAAACTGCTCAAAATAAAACATTTGGATTGAGAAAGATATTTTTTGTGAAAATTAAAGCTTTAGTTTTGATTTTGAAAAGAAAGAATGTTTTATTTTTTAAATAAAGTGAAGGAATTGAAATGTTTTCTTTCTTTTGTTAGAACGCAGATAAATTCGGATGAAAAATATTTGACCAAAAATAAGTTCTTCGATTTTGCTGTTTTGATCAGCAAGAATTGTCATTTTGAAAAAACTAAATTTTGATGCAAAATGAATAGAAAAACGACGAAAATTTTCGTAAAAATCGCTGAAAAAGATGTTTTTTTAAAATTATTCAACGATCGAAAATAGAGAAAATTAAAGAAACTCGAATAAAGTTTTAAATTTCTCTTCAAAATTTCTTTAAATCTTGATGCAACTCAGTTTTTATCTTTTCTCAAAGTTTTGAAAATCAAAAATAAAAAGATTTTCAACAAATTTTTCTTAAGTTAAATCAAAAATCAATTCAAATCAACAAACTTTGACAACAAAAAAATCTTTTCTATTTTCTTCGTTCGACAAAAAGCTTCTCAACAGAATTTCAATTTCAACACTTTTTGATTAAGAAAATTGGTTTTTTCCCTTCAGGCGAAAAAAGATTTTGTTAAATTCTTTGTTGAGAAAATGTCGAAGTCAATCCAACTTGAAATTTCTCTAATAAAAAAAGACATTCTCTTCAACATTTTCACTTAAAATTAACAAAACAAATTTTCTTGGAATATCATTTTGAAGTTTCTCTTCATCGATAAAAAAGTCTTGTCACAAAAAAAAATTTGAAGAATCTAAGAAGAAAAATTTTAGAGAAAGACGTGTCCTTTAAACGATTTCAATCTCAATTAATTAAATTGATGAAAATTTCTTAGAAAAGAGAAGTGTTTTTTATTGATTTTCTCGTAGAAACAAAAAAGATTATTTAATTTGATAAATATTTTGACGAACAGAAATCGAAATACACCTCTCTTTTGTTAAACTAAACATATATTTCTATCAAAATCACGCCATAGTGTAGTTTTCAGTTCATCTGGTTGTGTTAAAAAAAATAGAGATGCCTTTTCTATCTATATCTATGTTTAAATAATATACAACTGAATAATTCAGATCAAACTATTCAAGAAGAGAGGAAGACACATCTGACTATGAATGAGGGGAAGCAGCAAAGAGTTAGGGTCAGTATTACTTGGATTGAATAGTTGAATTCATATGAACTAAACAGATTAGCGTAATACATTTGAAAAGACAAAAAGAGATATATAAGTAGTTTATGAGACCAAAAAATTTGTTTTGTTATTAATATCTGGAATTCAATTCTATCTAGAATACTATGTAACAAAGAGATGAGTTGCTTTACAATATACTTCAGACAGATAGTCATAATTTAATTAATTACTGTTTGTGATGGTAGATTCTATCTTTTCAGTGTAGCGAATAACTTACCTGTTATTTCAACATCTGGTAAAAAAGCCTTAGCGATCTTTGAATTTCTTTTGCAACTAAATAAAGAAAGAATATTATTTGATTTCGGAAATATGTGGATATTTTTCGAAAACTAACCAGTTGATAAATTCTTCCTCTATCACCATATCGTCTTTATTTTTGCTACAGATTTTCATAATTTGTTCAGCAACGCATTTGGCTTCACCTTTATTGATTGCTGATGGACCATTATTGAGTTCTGCTACAACTTCAATAAACCTAATGATTTTTCTAATACCAATGTTTCCAGAACAATCATAATCACAAACAGAAAATACCTAAGTACAAAGATAATACTGACATTTATTCGAATAAAAATCTATCGCAAACCAGATGAAGTCGCTTTATTAAATCGCCTGGATGTGTAATAGCAACGACAGTCATAAACTCCATAAAGTTTATTTTACCGCTTTTGTCCTTATCAATCACTTGAAATACAAAATCACAAAATTTTGTCGGATCACCTCTAAATATCAATATATTATGTGAAATATGAATGTTTACAAATATTATACTTCATTCATATTAACTGACAGAGATGGGCAAGTCATTTTTCAAGTCAAGCTGAAGAAACCTTTGTAACTTTTCTCACATAAAGGATATGGTTTTGGTTCTCATCTTATTAAATTCAGAATTTTCCTAGCTACAAAATGACATATTATGGTTAAGATTTTTTTTTATCAAAACTTGTGTAATGCCTTCGACAAGTCATGACTTGACTTGACCTAACAAATTTAGCTCACCTTCTTCAAGTCATGACTTGTCGAAGGCATTACACAAGTTTTGATAAAAAAAAATCTTAACCATAATATGTCATTTTGTAGCTAGGAAAATTCTGAATTTAATAAGATGAGAACCAAACCCATATCCTTTATGTGAGAAAAGTTACAAAGGTTTCTTCAGCTTGACTTGAAAAATGACTTGCCCATCTCTGTTAACTGATAAACTTACTTTGGAAAAAGTTTTCTTAATTCACATATGAAATGTTCTTCATCCAGTTCACCATCAGGACTTAACATAAAAGCATTGTAAAGAATCAAGAAAAGTTCAAATTACTCGTGAACTTACTAATCATTCACAAATTGTTTGTGCCAGTCTTTAACACGGTCTTCTTCCAACATGGAATTCTCGTTCAAAATTAGATCAATTTGTTTTCGCGAAAGTTTGCCTAAATGAATTTTAATTATATTAGTGCTGTGATCTAATAGCGAATCTTTTAAAAGCACTCATTTTAAATATTCGAATTAATTCACAAAAATGTAATGAAATATATTTTGCTATTCAGTAAATAATAAACTTACTCAGTGATTCTTTGTAGAAATCTTTTGATTTTATTGTTGCTCTTGTTGCATAATAAATAACAGAATTAATTGGTTTGTTTTTTAAACGTGGATGTAAATCATAATCAATAACCCTAAATTTATCTTTATTATTTTCCGTGTCTTGTTCATTTTTCTTTATACTAATAAAATATCTCATTTGTTTTAATGAATTTTCTTCATCTTCCTCTTGCCATTTTTCACATATATGTAATAAATGAACATCATTATCATAAAAATCTTGTAGAAAATCTTCAATTGAAGTAATGTTTGTTAATAATTCTTTTTTATCCGGACTAATTCTTTTTAATGTTTTTATTTTCGTTTTTATTTTTTCGTTTTCATCCAAAAAGTTTTCAACTGATTCAGGTGAACATGGATGTTTACTGAAATTATCAATAAGTTCGATCATTTTTGATTCTTCAGCTGAATCACTGCGAATATCAACTAATAAACTTGATAAATCACGTTTTAATTTTAATTCTTCTTCATTAAAATCTGATAATTTCTTTTTGACTAAGTCATACCATTGACGAGGAAGAAATTCTTTCCATGGATTAATCTCATCTAAAAAATCATTTAATTTTCTTTGTTCATCATTCATTTGTTCAAAAATATTCTCAATTCGATTAACAATTTGTATCGATACTTCTTTTACCATTCTAATAGAAAAAGAAACAAGTTAAATACAACAATGCATGTGAAAAATTTGTTCGACTAACCTAGTAATTTTTCGTTCAAATTTAGTCATTTCTGCAATTTGTTTTAAAGAACATAGAATAAATGTGAGTTGCTGTCCTTTCCCATCATTCAATGATTTGATCATTGATGGAACATTTTGATAAACTTCCATGACTCCATCAATAGTGCGTGGACAATTCTCAATTAATACATCACCAGAAAAGCTTATTCTTAATGATTCAAGGTCGGCCTTTTGTTCATTATTATATTTTAAATTTGCTTCCCCACTAATACTAAATGCAGGGTTTGCAAGAGTTGCTGCCAATGTACCTTCAATTCGTTTTACATCATCATTTTTTTCCACTATTCGTTCAAATGTAGCAGCTACATTGGCTCCCCATATAATTCCAATAACGACATGTGTTACATCGGGATTGTCAAATGCATGTGAAGAAAAATATTCATGTAGACCTTTCGTTGATACTTGTAGATCTTCTTGTTTTGTTTTTGCTTTATATATAAACGTAGCTCGAACAGTATGACTATTTGTTTTTGTTTGTTTTAAATATTTTGCTGATCCTTCGATTTTTAGTAATCCTGCCATTAAAGCTAATTTTAAATTAGCTTCAATATTTAAATTATCGAATGTTTCTTTTTGTGAACTATGAAAATCAAGCCAATAGCTTACATTAGCACAATCGCTACGTTTTATAAATGCGTCTGGTAATACGTCATTAAATAAGTTTCCCATTACGAATTGATCTGTACGAATATCGTACAGTGAACCTATGTTTCCAGAACGCCCAATTGCTTGTCGTTCAATTAAACCACTTGAACTCATGATAATTTTTTCACTATAACATAAATTTAGAAAAATATTAAACAGTTTCAAATCATTTTCTATATGGACTAGAGGGTGGGTGTGGGTGTGAATCTTCTCATAACCTACACTCTTATCTACACGCACACCTACGCCCGCTCCACGGACTCGTGCAGTACGGTGGATTCTTATGGATTCCTTGAGTTCCGTGCGTTTGGTCGATTCTAGTTGATTTATAGGTTCACAAGTCCACAATAGTTCCAAACTCCCAGAACCTGGATACATCTGTTTTTCTCAATGATTTAAATGTAAAACTTACCCGAATAAAATTGTTCAAATGAAATGATTTAAAAAAATTGTAATAGTTTGTAAATTTCGGATGGTTTTGTGTATGTGTGTGACTGAATGTTCTGTTCGCGAAATAATTCGTCTAGTTTGTTTTATAAAGTAACAATATTTGTGACATTTTTCTCTTTTCTTTGCAGCTACGTATTTTATTGCGAAAGAATGTGCAAAGATTGAAAAGAAGACATTGAAGGTCTTCAATAAATAAAAAATGTTATTGGAAAGAAAGCAAAAAAGAATTCATATAAAATGAAATGGATTTTTGAGCTGTCCAGTCAAATATTGTTGATAGAAACCTGTATTCTTCATAATGAAAGCTAAATATGTCTTCGAAAAAACAAAAACAAAAATCTGATAAAATAGAATGAATTATGTTATTCGTTTGAATGAATTTTATCGACAGTCGTAGATCGTCGACACCATATTGAGAGTGTTGATGTCTGATGTATCCTTCATATAGAAGTATTTGAAACCAAAAACTAATTGTGAAGAGTGATTTAATTTGATTTTTTGATGAATTGTGAAAACCATTTCTTAATTGAAGTTAAAAACGAAATCTTTGGATGAATATTGATTAGATTTTGATTATTTCACTTCTTTTTTTCATTACATTCAAGGATTTTATTCATAAGAATAACAAAAATTTCATGTTGCAAATAAATAAAAAATCTTTATGTAAACAGTTTTTCACAAACAAATTCCTCACTCGATTTCGATTTCATTTTCTTCATCTTCTTCAATTGAGAGACCATGATGTTTTTCTTCTCGATTCTTTTTTCGTCTTTTCAATGTCAGTAAAAGATTTAGAAAATTAATCAATATTTCATTTATTTTTCTCTTACTTTATTATATTTTATATGAAAAATTAAATATTTCAATTTATGCTCCATAATTATGTATATATATTGATAGAGCAAAAGAAATATGTTCTCTTCGCTCACCCTTTTTCTCGATTGAATCTATAAGTAACTTTTAGAAGTTATTTTCTAATTGATCATATATAGTTGAATCGCCATTTCTATTTGAATTTGAAATAAACATCTGATAACAACATCAAATACATTTGGAAAGAAAACGAATGTTAATTTGTAGTGTTTCATTGATAATAAGTCGAAATATTATTTTAATTAAACGATGAACATCATAGGAATCGATTTTATTTGTAGAGAAATGCTTTTAAATAACATTTGATTACAGTTTTGTGTTTCTTTAAAATATTTCGATATGAGATGTCGATGAACAAAGAAATGATGAAAAATAGTTTTTATTCTTATTCATTGATAATAATTTCTTCTTAAAGTAAAGGAATTGTTAATTTATTTTGTAGTTGTTGTTGATCGAATAAAATTAAAATAAGAATCGTGAACGCATTATTATTTTCGTTCAATATTCTCAAATTGAATATTACTTATTATCAAGATTCACTTATTTTTGTCATTGTTAATAATTTGAATAATTCTTTTTTGAATTAAAATAATGTCACGAATTCGAATTTAAAGTTAAAATTTCGATGTGATGAATATTTATTGTTTTGTAGATTTTTATTTATTTAGTTTGAATATAAATTCTCTAAAAATAATCCAATTTCTTTAAGTGACATCACCAGTTTTGTTGAGAAAGTCAATTTTTAATAGGAAGAATTTGAAATTCTTTTTTGAAGATCATTAAGAAATAGTTTTTCGTTGAGAATCTGATCATCTACTCAATTCATATTAGTAATTAAAAAAATATATTGATCATTTGTATGAGAATATCGATTTTTATTAACTTTGTGCAAAAAATTATTTTCATCCGAATGTTGATTTTATAAATGAAAAATAAAGAATATTTATTATAAAATTAAATTGAGAATATTCGGTAACAATAAATACGAATTGATCTCGATTGAATTGTATGACTGATTGGGTGTGGGTATCTAAGTATCATGTACCCACACCCAAATTCATTTAATTCTTCGAATACTTCATTGTCTCGGAATTTTCTTCGGATTCTTTGTATTTATTTATGAACTTATTATTCGACACAGTATAATATACTCTCTATGTTACTTTCGTTATCTTCTTACTACTATTGCAATACTTTATCTGTTATTCGCTCGAAAAAAGCCCAGTAATCAATTTGCATATGGAACATTCTATGCAATGAGTTTTGTTCAAGGGGAAAACAGCTGATTATTTGATTAGACGTGATTAGCAGTGATTAGGGTTGATTAGAAGTGATTAGGAGTGATTAAGAATGATTAGGGGTGATTATGAATGATTAAGGATGATTAGGAGTGATTAGGGATGATTAAGGGTGATTAGTGGTTTCCTAATTAGCTGTTTCCCCCTTGGATATAATACTATGAATTATTAAGTGAAGAATATTCTTCTTTTAGTACTATTCGTTATGTTTGTTATATA